CCCCCACACCCCAGCTGGAGCGGGTGGTCCAGGAGACCGAGGCCCTGAAGGAGCGCCAGGAGACACCAGACTCCCCAGAGGCCCTCACCTGCATCCCCTCCCTGCAGCTGGCGGACATCCCCAAGACCACCACCAAGGTACGCACACGCCCCCTCACCTGCGCTTGACGCTCACCTCCTTGACGCTTTAATACATCATTCCTTGCTCATAATGCCGTTAGTTGCCGCACTTGTTTGGAGTCTTCTCGCCCGCCCACGCCCCGCCTGTGGATGCGTGCGTATTGCTGGGCCTCGTTGACTGACACACACACACACACACGTACACGCGTACACGCGTGCCCACGTACACACATTCACTCACACACACACACGCACACACACCACCCCCCCAGGTCCCCACCAGCGTGACGTCACTCAACGCGGAGGGCTCTGTCCTGCTGGGCCACGAGCTGTTCACCAACGACGTGCTCTACCTGGAGGCCGCCTTTGACATGCGGCCGCTGCCCGTGGAGCTGCTGCCCCTCGTGCCCCTCTTCTGCCGCAGCCTCACACAGGTGTTTATGTGTGTGTGTGTGTGTGTGTGTGTGTGTGTTGGGGGGGGTCGCGGTTTTTGGGCGTCCGGCGTCTGCTTGAGGTGTGTGTGTGTGTATGTGTATGTGTTAATGTATGTGTTTGTGTGCAGATGCGTGTGTGTGCGCGTGCGTGCGCGCACACGGGGGTGTGCGCGTGCGCGGGCGTTTTTGTGTGTGTGTGTGTGTGTGTGTGTGTGTGTGTGTGTGTGTGTGTGCGCGTGCGCGCGCGCGTGTTTGTGCAAGCGTTGTCCCGCACGAGCAGGTCTCGCGCGCCCGTCTGTCCCCGAGGCCCCATCACTGTGTCGCCCGCTCACGCGCCCACACCCCCGCCGCTGCCCCCCGTCCTCGCCTTTCTCACTCAGATGGGCACCGAGAAGGAGAGCTTCGTGGAGCTGACTGAGCGCATCGGCCGCAAGACCGGCGGCGTCAGCGTCTACCCCTTCACCAGGTGCGGCGCAAGGCAGACCCACTGAGTGAATCATCGATCGCGCCACTGCTTTGGGTGCGACAAGCTATCCATATCGGCTATCTGGGATGCAAACGGCACTGAGCAATATTGTTTTACCCACTTGGAAATTGTGGGGGTGGTTGCCCCCGCATGTGCGCACGGAAGCGCGTGTGTGGTCTCCCGGCCACGTCTTTGGTGGCAGCTGAACCCCGCAATTGTGCTGATCCGCGCCCGATTGTGTCTTCACCCCCCCTCCGCAGCGCCAAGCGGGGCCAGGACGAGCCTGTTGCCTACATCATGCTGCGGGGCAAGGCCATGGGGGCCACCGCGGGCGACATGGTGGCCATCATGAGGGACATCCTCACGACGGCCCGGCTGGACGACAAGGTGCGGGGGGAGTGACGCCTAGGGGTGGAGTGTGTGAGGGGTCCGGCCCGTGAGGGGGGGGGGTTATTGACGTGAGCTGACTGTTAACGTGCAGTTCTGTGTGGGTGTTGGGGGAGGGCAGGGCGGGATCGGTCACGGATTGAGGAGTCGAGTGTTTGGGAAGGGGATGCTGGATGTGCGCCCGGCCGCGTGGGCTGCTGCGTGTGTGTTTTTTCGCAGTCCGCAGGTGTGGGATTTGGAAGCCAAGCCGCGTGCGAGTGGGGTGAGACGGCCGAAACAGCTTGATCCCGGCCGGTTTGGTGCGCCCCAGACACGTCTTTCCTGCGCACGGACATGGGGGGCGTCCCCCCCCCCTTCCCCGCCACCAACCCCCCACCTTGCCCCCGTGCCTGCTAAACTCTCAGGCGCGCTTCACCCAGATGGTCCTCGAGACCAAGGCCGGCCTCGAGAGCGGCATCATCGGCAGCGGCCACCGCTTCGCGTCCGCGCGCCTCGCGGCGCAGCGCAGCACCGCGGGCTGGGTGTCTGAGGCGATGGGGGGGCTCAGCTACCTGGAGTACGTGCGGGCGCTGGCCAAGAGGGTGGAGAGCGACTGGGACAGCGTGAAGGTGGGATTCGGGATTGATTGGGGTGCCCGCTTCAATTTCGGGTGTGTCGCATTTTGGGGGAGGGGGGGTTAGCAGGGCACCCTTTGGCAGGAGGTGTGCAGGAAGTTTTGATTGAAGACCGTGGATCGACAGCCTTTCTGGACTGCCCTTGATCCTGAGTAAAGACATGTCATCCTTGCTTTCCCCTGTCTTTTTGAAACACGAAATCCGTTCATCCTCAACGCCCTGCACTTCACCTACCCGACAGGCCGACCTGGAGCGCATCCGCACCCTGCTGCTGCAGCGCCGCGGCGCCATCATCAACGCCACCGGCGACGCGCGCGCCCTCGGCGCGGCGCAGCGCTACGCCGCGGAGGAGCTGCTGGCGGCGCTGCCCGCGGATAGCGCGCCGGCGGCGGGCTGGAAGGGCGCGTTGCCGCGGGTCAACGAAGCCCTGGTGGTTCCCACCCAGGTGGGTGCGTCGGCGGCGGGCCGACCTGAAAGTGTGTTTGACCAAGATTGACATGCGAAATCCGACTCTACTAATTTGAATGATCGAAAGCCAATCGCGAGTTCAACGTCACGGATGGTGTGAAAATCGACAGGGCGCCTCGGTCCGGTACCCGCGCGCATGCGCTATGCTGCGGCGCGCGGCGCTGTGCCGGCTGTGCGAGAGGTGGCAGTCGCGGTTGGCGCTCACCCCACCCCCCCTTGCAGGTTCTCGGTCCTTATGCTGCGCCCTGTGCGGCGCCTTCAGGCTGCGGCATCTCAGGATTTGCCCTTAATCAGCAGCAGCCCGCCCCCC